TGATGTGGGACATCATTCATTAAAACCCTTTACCTTGTTATTATTCACTGGGCTCCAACTCACTGTATTATTTATGTATATAGATAATCAGGGGCATGACCAGGCTTAGAGGCGTCTGCCTCAAATCTGTTTTTTTTAGCCGACCTATGTGCCTCCCGTAGAGGTTCCTGATATGTCAAGTGGTTATGACTATGTGTTTAAAGTTCAAGTTTTGTTTTTCTTGTTTGTTTAAACAAGTCTTTGTTTATTTTGTAAATAGGGCTAAGTCCCTTTTTGTCTAATCTGTATATGTATAATGACGTAAGGAGGATGTGTAGATATGTATATAAAGGTTTAAAATTTTTCTGTCTCATGTAAGCTGCATAACTCAATGGATGTTGTATATTTGTTATTAGCTTCCGCCAACCCTTAATATTATGTTAATTTGTCTCAGAGGCCTTCGGTAATCCCAAGATTACTGGCCAATTACGATGCTAAACCCATAAGGATGGGTTTAGGTCATGACACATACTGCAGAACTTGTGGGGAGAAGCAATTTTGTCTACTAATTATGTTCTTAACAGAATACCCCACAAGAAAACCAACAGCACACCTTATGAATTGTGGAAAGGTTGACCACTTTTCTACAAATACTTAAAAGTGTGGGGGTGTTTGGCGAAAGTTGAAGTTCCTGTTCCGAAAAAGACTAAGATATGACCAAACACAGTGGATTGTATGTTTATTGGTTATGCTCAGAATAATAGTGCATATCGGTTTTTGACTTATAAATTAGAAATACCTGATATAAAATGAACACTATTATAAAGTCAAGGAACGCTGTGTTTTTTGAACATATTTTTCCTTACAAGAAAGGACAGGAATTAAGTTCCTAAAAAAGAATTTATGATTGTACACAAAGTCAAGAGACTAATGGCAATCAAACGCAAGAGACTAGTAATGGTCTCGACCAACAAGATTTAACTGATGATGAACCAAGACAAAGTAAAAGAGCAAGAACATCAAAATCTTTTGGTCTAGATTTTCTGACATACCTGTTAGAAAATGAACCTCAAAGCTTTAAGGAAGCAATGACAGGTCCTGAAGCACCTTTGTGGAAAGAGGCTGTTAATAATGCAATTGAATCCATTATACAAAATCATACTTGGGAATTGGTGGATCTTTCACCCGGTTCTAAACCTCTTGAGTATAAATAGATATTCAAGAGAAAGTTAAAAGTAGATGGTTCAATAGACAAGTATAAAGCAAGACTTGTGGTAAAAAGTTATAGACAAAAGGAAGGTTTAGACTATTTTGACACATATTTCCCTGTGACAAGAATAACATCCATTCGCATGTTTATTGCTATAGCAGCGTCGTATAATCTAGAGATACATCAAATGGATGTCAAGACAGCTTTCTTAAACGATGATCTAAATGAAAAGATCTATATGGAGCAACCTGAAGGGGTTGTAGTGCCAGGGCAAGAAAAGAAAGTTTGTTGGCTTGTAAAATCTCTTTATGGATTAAAACAAGCACCTAAGCAATGGCATGAAAAATTTGATCATGCTATGCTTACTAATGGGTTTAAGATAAACGAATGTGACAAGTGCGTCCGTGTTAAAAACACTGACAAAGGTTATGTCATTGTTTGTCTTTATATGGATGACATATTTATCATTGGAAGTAGTCAAAACATGATCAAATCAACCAAGCAGATGTTGAATAAAAGATTTGATATGACAGATAAGGGAGTCGCTGATATAATATTAGGAATGAAAATTACTAAAATATCTGATGGATATGCATTATCTCAATCTTATTATATTGAGAAAATTTTTGGTAAATATATCAAGGATGATATGAATGTAGCACGAACACCAGTAGATATCAGTCTTTATTTATCAAAAAATAAAGGTGATGCAGTGTCTCAACTAAAATACTCCCAAATCATTAGAAGCCTAATGTACCTAATGAATTGCATTCGTCCTGATATAGTTTATGCTGTTAGTAAATTGAGTAGGTACACTAGTAATCTCGGAAAAAATCATTGAAAAGCAATCATTCGGGTTCTTAGATATCTAAGATTTACCCGTGATCATAGTTTGAATTTTACTTGATATTTAGCAGTACTCCAAGGCTATTGTGATGCAAATTGGATATTAGATACTAAAGATTTAAAATCCACTAGTAGATATGTCTTTACTCTGGGAGGAGCTGTTGTTTCTTGGAAATCCACGAAACAAACATGCATCGCATGATTCACAATGAAATCTGAGTTCATTGCTTTAGACAAAGCAGGAGAAGAAGCAGAATGGCTTCGCCACTTCTTAGAAGACATTCCAATGTGGCCAAAGCCTATGCCAACTATTTGCATTCATTGTGATAGTCAATCTGCAATAGGTAAGGCACATAGTCATATGTATAATGGTAAGTCACAACATATTCTTCGTTGACATAATATCGTAATGCAATTGCTCTCAAATGGAATAATCTCAATAGATTATATAAAATCTAAAGAGAATATTGTGGATCCGTTAATAAAAGGTTTGACTAAAGAACAAGTGTATAGTTCATCGAAGGGGATGAGATTAAAGCCTATTACATAAAAGTCATCATAATGGTAACCCTACTTAGATGACTGGAGATCCCAAGAACTAAGTTCAAAGGGGCAACTAAGTTATGTGTGGCTCGCTAGAAATCACCAAGGGATTAAAATTTCCTACCCATTCCTATGGTGAGAGTGATATTTGCAACCTGTGTTTTATGCAGGGGTTTAAGGATAAGTTTTTCTTTTAATGATAACTTAGATCTTGATTTAGGCATAAAAATCAAGACAAGTATAAGATATTCTCACAATAAGAATCACTTATATGAGTGTCAAACGGAGCCGGTTCTATAAGAATGAAGAGGCTAAATTATTTAGAAGCACTCATGAACAACCAGGAGCGTTCAAGGCCAAAATGAACACAACCGTAAGAACCACGATGTGTCAGAAGATATTTTGTGTGAAATCTATTGTCTTGGCTTACACAAACGGCTGAACAATTCAAGGCATTGTGTCCATTGGTTAGCTAATAAATCCGATAGGTTATCACTAGGGAAGGTTCAAGGCCGAAAACTACCTATCCTGATGCAAGATACTTTCAATTTATACTCTTTCGACAAATTTTGTATATTGTTGCATTTTCGCTATCATCAAATTCTATTCATGTGGGGGATTGTTAGAAATGATTTTGGAAAAATACAAATTTTTCCTATACTTTGGTCTAATTTTTAGGTGGGACCCATACGCCAAATTTGGCGGGTCTAAGTAGTAACGCGTTCTATGCCGTGTTGTGATTCACGTAGTATATTTAGTTGCTCAAACCGTTATCGAGTGAATGGAAAATTGAAACCAAAGTATGCTTCATGGAAATGGTGTTTTGGTGAAATTTCTATAGAGGTATGAATTAAGGCTTGTCCACATTGGTTTGGTGGACAAACCTTGTGTGGGTTTGTAAGGCTTGGGTTTGAAACTTGGGGTAGGCTCCAAGGAGCACTCAAGTTTTGTAGAGGAGGAGGTTATGGGCAAAGTGGGCTAGACCCATTGGACCCAAAACAAACACACGCGTGTGCGCCGCCTTCGCCGTCTATCCGGGAGGGCTAGGCTGGCTTGGGCTTGGGCTTGGGCTTGGGCTTGGGCTTGGGCACGGGTGCATGGCATGAGGCTTATCCAGCCCAATTTTAATTTTTTTGGGGCCAAAAAAATTTGAATTTATTTTTCAATTTTGGAAAATAAATTTTGACCGTTTGAATTCAAATTTCAATTGGAAAATTCAGTTTTGGCTTGCACCTTTTTGTACATATTTCATATATGTCCGAACAGATTCAGTTCAAAACCCCTGCTTGTTTAATTTAAATTCAAACAGATTTGTATCTGTTAAATTCAAACCGAACAAGTACTATACCTGTTGAATTCAAATCTAAAAGCCACCATTGCACCTATAAATAGACAAATCCCTCATTTGGATTTTCACTTAAAATTTTCGTTCTCAATTCTGCTATTGTTTTCTCTGCATTTTGCTGCATTATTTTCTTGTAAGAAAGAGTATAAAGAGTGTAAACACAAAGTGTGCTTGTTGTGTGAATAGTTTGTAGTACTGCTACTATTCGTTGTTGATCATTTTATCCTGGGAGATAGACGTTCACAATCTAAAAGTACCGTAGAGAGGACGAATCTATCTTAAGGACAGAGTGTTAAACACTGGATTTGATCAAAAATTTGTTTGACAAATAAATAAGGTGAGTAATTAATTTACTTTCTGTTTTATTTATTTTTATCAGATTCTGATTTTGTTTTTGTAACAAAATAAGAATCTGTTATTTTATTTTATTTTATACACTGTTTTGATTTTTGTAAACAAACAGTTTCTCTCCTTTTTTTAATTCTTCGAATACAATAAAGATTGTCTAACAAATTCAATCCGCAACCGCCCGCAGTGCGGGTTGTGGTTTGTGCGAATAGCGTTAGCGGATGTGCGGGCGGTTTGCGAATTGGACTTTTCTCAATTTCCAGATTCAATAAAATATAAGATTCATTTCAATTTCAAAAGTAATTAACAAATTCAATTCCCCTCCGTAAAGAAGTAGATTCAATTTTCTATAATGTTCATAGAGCAAACAAAAACAAAAACATTCAAAAATAATGTTCTTAAACAATGTTCTCTATAACATTTCTTTTTGTATCATGAAACAATATTGTATCAAAATCATGCCACCAATAATGCATCAAATTCTACAATTGATGCAACAATTTCAGAGGTTATTACATTTCGTAATAGTAAAACTCTTATTGAATTTGATGAGGCCAAAAATACACTGATGAGTTCTGAATTTAATTAGGACAACATTTCAAATACAAGAATACCCAAGAGCATGTCTTAACCAAAAAAATGAGCTAAAGATCGATTCAAACTTACACGGCTGCTAATGTCGATCGTCAAAGGTCACCGAGAGAGAGAGAGAGAGAGAGAGAGAAAGAGATGGTCGAAGGTCGATCTTGCCTGAAAACGTCACCAATCGTCGAATCGAAGATCACTGATCTAGCGAAGGTTGATCTTATAGGAGAAGGTCACTGATCATCGAAGGTTGATCAGTCGCTGTGGTCGCCACAGAGAGAGAGAGAGAGAGAGAGAGAGAGAGAGAGATGGAAGAACGAGAGAGAGAGAGAGTGAAATGAGAAAAGAGGCTGAATGAAATTAGGGTTTGGTGTGTTGGCCAAAAATATCTAGAATAGGATGAATGCAATCAACGGTCTAGGTTTTTCTTATTTTTAATAATAATAAATCTGAGTGTGGGCAGATTCTTGCAAGTGCGGGTTAAAGCTGCAACCTACAATTATGTCATATTCCAAACCGCATCCGTCCGCATTCTGTCTACAAAACCACCTATTTGTATGCGAATCGGTTCAGGTTGGGCAGGTTGGCCAATTCGGATAACTCTATACCTAGCTCATGATGAAAGTGTTTAATTTCAACTTAATTCCAACTTCACAAAACTAAACCGTAATTTGTCATTTTTGTTTGTTTCTTATATTGACTCCCAAGTAGTGAAAAAATAGATTAAATTGACTTCAAATGATAAATAAATAAAAAATAAATCAAATTGATCACAAAAACTTTATTATTTTTTTGGTGGTTGTTTTGCAGGCCTTGAATGGTGTAATTGACACCTACAGAGAAAATGCGAGAATAATTTATGACACGTTCACTTCACTCGGGTTCAAGGTATATGGTGGCAAAAATGCAACCATACATTTGGGTACAATTTCCAGGATTGAGATCTTGGGATGTATTTTTGCTGAGATTCTTGAGAAAGCACATGTAATCACTGTTCCAGGCAGAGGTTTTGGTCCTGGTGGTGAAGAGTTTATCAGAATTAGTGCATTTGGAGATTAAAATGGTGCACTTGAAGCTTCAAGGAGTCTGAGAAATCTTTTCGAATAAATAAAATTTATATTTTCAAGATAAATTTCTTCTTCTATATGTCAATTTTTGTAATTTCAGTTTTGATTTCTCTAGTAATACTGGGATTTGGACTAAGCAGAATTAAATTTGGTTTGTTTGGATGGAAAAAGAAGAAGAATAATGATAGCTATATAAACGACAGTGAAGAAAATATATACAAAATACTGTGATTGAGTTATGTGAACTTATTGTTTTAAAACAAATAACTTATTAAGATTGTTTTTTAGTTATAAAAGTGTCATCGTTACATAATTCTGACGAAAAAAATCATAAAAGATTGTCATTTTTAAGGGTGTAAAATTGGTTGAATGTTATATGGTGCGGTAATTTTCCGCTTATGCTTCTTTTGTCTAGGCGAAAATATTTTTTAAAGGAAAACATTTTTTTAAATTGAACCCAAACCCTTTTCTTTTCTTTTCCTTTTTTAAGGAAGATGACAGCCACTCTTAGTTGCCTCTCACATGTAGGGTGATTGTGTATACACAAAACACTTTAGGGTCAAGTCATGCTTACTATTTTAAATATGACATGAATTAAATTGATCACAATTTAAATAATTTTAGTGTAAAATTAATATAATTCATTTGGAATAAAATGAAAATTTCTCATTGGAGAAAATTGACCTCGCTTGAGGGCGGAGTTTGAGCTCAAATTAGCTGTTTCTATAACAACCCAATTCTATCAGATGTTCCCAACCAATTTTTTATTGACTATTTGGAACCGTGAGGGCAAAAAAGAAAAAAGAATCTTGCCTTTATTGAACCCATCAAGGAAAATACCACACACAGTAGTTTTACGCTGATGGGAGAATTTAAAAAAGAATTTGAAAAAGAAAAGAAAAAGGGTAAGTGAAATATGTATAAAACATATTTATATTTCACTTAATTTGACATATTTTTCTTTTTCTTTTTTTCTTTTCAAATCTCTTCTTAAATTCTCCAACTAAATATGACGTTAGTAATTAAATCAAAAAAAGTGTTTTGAATTTGTAATTAAAAATGACAAATGCCAACAAGTGTCTTTATATATTATTTAATGTTGGGATTAATGCAAAAAGTGTTTTCATAATGGTAAAAAAGTTATAAACGGTTTTAAAATGTGTGAAAGGTGTAATAAAATTAAACAAAAAAGTAGTGAGTTTTTACTAAATTTGTGTTTTGTTGTTATTAATAAAACTCATTATCTGAATTTTTAGACTTCTTAATACTCAATATGATTATATTTTTTCCTCACGTGTTATGTGTGGATGGTCCACCATGTACATTTATCAACCATTAAACATCTTCCATTCTTCCCAAGTAAAACCAAACGTTGTAGATGGACTAGAATGAGTCATCGACGTCTAAGAAAGACTTTGGTCAAAATTTGCTTTTGGAACAAAAAGACAACTCAGCGTGTTTTTCCTAATCTTGAAACTTGTAGTTAGCATCCATGTAACAGCCCAGAAACTTCTCTAGTCTCCTTCAAGTTTACTTGCTCTCCATGACCATTCATTCATACACACAAACACAAACCCCTCTCTCCCTCTATAAATATAGAAATTCTCATACAACCTTGTTTTAAGAACACCCAACCATCAAAATTTTTCTTTTTTCCAATTCAATTGCAGAAAGCTCATACAACCTTGTTTTAAGAACACCCAACCTTAAATTTCATCACAACAACATATTGGTTAGCCATGTCATTGGCAGGATCAACTGGTCTGGTCGAAGTTTACGTGATGCGAAAGCTCTACAAGGACAAGATGATCAAGAGAATGGAAAAAGAAAAAGAAGAAAAACAAGTGAGTTTTATTAATAACATTGCTGCTACTGATCATGATGAAAAAAATTCTAGTGGTTGTCTTCCCAACAAGTTTAAGAAAATTCACCCCGCAGGAGCTCCACCGGACTCTGTTAGAAATCAGCTTTAGTATGATTAGTTGCCGGCCGTGATTGTTGTTAGGAATTTGTATATGCAATTCTGTAATTTTGTTTTAATTTTAATTTGTTGTGATTAGTAAGAGATTAATCTATATTTTGATTTGTGTGTACAACTTTAATTGATTCTCTCACTCATCAATTGATGAAGCCAGTAATACTTGGAAGTTTGGAACTCATTCTCGCTTTATCTATCTTCTTGTGTGTTGTCTTCTTTTGGCGTTGTGTCAAAACTCTGTTTGTTTGCCGAGAAAGATTAGGGATTCGGAGAACTTTCAAGGAAATCTAACTAAAACATGTACATTGTGCTGCTACTTGAGAAATTCAGTTGCTATTTTTTTTGTTTGTTCACTCATGAGATTGGTTAGTTCCTTGTTCTTCATGTTCAATATTGTGATCTTCAACGAAAATTGAAGGATTTCAGAGATGTTGAGGGAACCCTACAACTGTTCCGTGCCTTGTCACGACTCACGAAGATGAGAATTGGGATTTTTTTGGAAAAATTACTTATTAGTGGCCCTGTTAGAATATTGTTTAAAAAATTATATTTTTAATTATTAATGTGTATAAAATTATTATTTATTTATAATTTTTTTAAAATATTACACTGAATTAAAATTTGGAAAATGTTGTGTACCCTAAATAATTTACTAAATTTTTTATCAAATTTCTCTGGTGGTATATTTTGAAAATAATTTTGAAGTTTTAGAATTTGAGATGATTTGATATTTTTTTGTAATTGTGTAAATAAGTATGAAAGAAAAAGTGATTGAAGTATTATGTCTTGCATGTGTTTGGTGAAGAAGAAAATACAACTTTGCAGTGGTGCTTGAACCTAGAAGGTTAGAAATTTGTGTGTGAAGATAGCATGAGTTTATTGAATAAAAAGGGAAAAAAGACAGAAAATCAGTGGACAAATGAGAAATCCATGATCATGACTCTGCCATGAGAAAGTCATGACAAAATGGGATCCATATAATGAGTTTCACTCAAATGTAAGAAGTTTGGTAAAAAATTTAATAGATTATTTAGAATTCCTAACATAACTTTGATAATTTTTTTCCATTTTTAAGTGGTGGGACCCAGTTGAAATATGGATCCAATTTTTTAAGTAGCGGGACCTAATTTTTTATTTGAAATTCCTAACATAATCATATTTTATTTGTAATAAACCCACATGTGTTTGAGAAGTAATTTTTTTAATAATTGTTTGATTTTTTAATCAGAGGGTAAATTATAAATAAGAGTGTAAAACCTTTTATAAGATTTACTTAAAATACGGAGGTAATACCTTTTAAGATTTTTTAATTAGATGATAATATTTTTTAAGATTTACTTAAAATATGGACCGCTTCTTATGATTTTGGAATTATAACTACTCTCTTGTTATAATTTTTTATTTAACAAAATTAATAGAGAAAATAAAATTTCTAACTACTCTTCTATACAACTATAAAGTTACATGAATTATTAATTAAAATATATTTTTGATATCATTAAAAATTATTAATTGACTTAATAATTTATTAATAAAATGAGTAATTTATTATACAATTAAAAACTTGAAGGATAAAATGTAATTTCTAAAACTATAATGGACAATTCATATTTTAAGCAAATATTAGAAATATATTTATAATTTATTTTTAATTAAAATATGAGATCAAAAAAATTAAAATATCTTAAAATAAATTTTTTGATTTTTTTTTTATTATAAAAAGATGTAAAAAAAATAAAAAAATGATGCGATAAAAATAAGTCAACAAGTAACTTATTTGGGGTATTCCTAAAAGAGTTAAGTCATCACATGAAGACAATTGTGCATACAATAAAATAACAGGAAAATGGATGGCAGAAACGATGGAACAGACGCTACAAGAAAAGGGACTATTTGAGTCAAATTATTTGTGATGAGACCACTTGTCAACTCAAAAATAGGTTATTAGCGTCAGCAAAATAGGATTGCCTCCACAAAAATTTACTGGCTATTTATTATTTTAATCGGCAGATTATATTGTCTCAAAAATATATTATTTGCATCGGTAAATTTTTGTCTTCTCAAAAAAAAAAATCATCTAATTTTTCATTCAATTTTTTTTGCTCCAAAATTTCCCTCATGCATATTTCAAGTTATTTTGCGTCTACATTGTTTGCCGTCACAAAAAGTGAAAAAAAAAGTAATGAACGAAATTTTAATTACAAAAATAATGTGATAAAATTATTTTTGTAAATAAATTTATTTTTACCGTTATTTTGTTTAAAAATAAAAAATTCACACTAACACAAAATATTATATATAGATTTTTTTATTTATATATCGTTATTGGTTTTGAATTTGAATACTTGTTATGTTTTTCAGTTTTCCTTGTTTTTGCTTTGTCAATTAGTGGATCCGAAATTCCTCTTCTCCAGATGAGTCCCATATATCATTACTTTGTCGTTATCTTTTATTTCAATACATACAGCTTGATTTTTTTTCCGTATAATATATTTCTTTTGAATCCAATGTCAATCACAAACACGAGACATGTGACATTTAAAAATATATATATATTCACAAAGTTAAATAATTTTCTCTGAACGAGTTTAATCCAGTGTTACAAATATTTTTATATATTAAAAAAACAACAATGGAGAGCATCATAATCTTTGATATGAAGTTAGTTGTTGGTCAAAAAATCAAGAGTTTCAATTAATATAACTAATTGGTTCTCTCCTCTTTGCTAACTCCCTCCTTTGTAGCAGTCATCAAATTACACATATGTAAAACATGATCCAATGTTTCAAGGACCAAAATAATATAATATCTATATATAACATCTTATTACCTAATTAATCATATGTTAGTTTAACCTTTCCAATTTTCTGCAAAAACAACTATAAATAGGCCTCCCCAACTTTGTCACCCCATAAGATCATCCAACAACAACAACAATACCAAAACCCCCATTTGTAATAATCAAGTTTGTAGTTTGTCATATCCTTGTATCAACCACACTGTCCATGGCTAGCACTGGTCTTGCTGAAGCTTACTTGATGAGAAGAGTGCTCAAGGAGAAGACGATGAAGGGCTTGGAAGGCTCAAAAGGCAAGCCCCAAGTGAATGTTCATCAAAAGAAAGCATCAAATGGCTGCTTCCATGGGGTTTTCAAGAAGATTCACCCAACTGATGTGTCATTGTTGGATTCAGCTGATAGGAAAAAAAGCTGGTAACACTAGGCCATGAGGGTTAATTAGTGAAACCCAAATGGCAAGCATGTCTGTGTTGGTTTGTCATAGGGTAGCAATTATAAGCCCGAGTAGAAGGAATACTTCATTTGTTGTATTTTTAGGGCAAATTACAAACACCCCCCTCGATGTTTGGTAAAAATAGAAATTTTTCCTGAGATTTGAGAAATTACAAATTGTCCCTTGAAGGTCAAATTTGCATAACAAATTAGGGGAGAATCTGTATGAAAATAAAAACCTCAGGGGGCAATTTGTTATGAAAATATAAACCTCAGGAGACGGGATGTAATTTCTCAAACCTCAGAGTGGAATCCGTATTTTCACCAAACCTGAAAGGGTATTTGTAATTTGCCCTAATTTTTAATTGACTTTTCCAGAACTTGATTGTATAATTTTTTCAATATTGGAGTTCTTGCATACAATATTGGGGAGGGAAAGAAAGAAAGAAAAAAAAATCAAAGGCAACAGTTAACAATTGATACCAGTCTTCCATGTGATGATTATTTTTCAATAAAATTTTGTCAAAATTGAGTGATATAGCTGTGTAAATACATAAGCGTCATTAGATTTCGTTTATCATTATTATAATTAGTAGCTAACACGTGCGATGCACCGGCTGAACATATTTATTTTAAAATATTTTTTTATGAAATTTAGTTCAATTATTTATATTTTTGTATATATAAAATATTTAAAATTATCGTTAAATTATAAGAAAAAAATAAGCAATAATTTAAAATTTAAATAATGATTTCTATCATGTTATAAAAATATAACTTACATATATATATATATATAATAGATTTCATAAAAATAAATATTTTTAATATTTAGTTTTAAAAAAAAAGTGAAAAATGTATAATAAAATTAGTTGGTAAAATATTTTTAGTATGTAGAATTCTATTAATTTTTGTTTATGGGTAATTAGATTAAGTAGAAGTCTTTTAAATATTAAATTTTAAAAAGAATTTTGATAAGGGTATTCATTTAGAAATTTAATAAAAAAGAAAAGAAAAAAAAAAAGAAAAAGGAAGATGTGTCACATATGAGAGAGAGAGAAAAAAGTTCAAGGTAAAAAGTATTTTTTTTAAATTTATTTTGATAATCTTAGTCCTATTATTTTATAAAATTCTTATTTGCATCAACACATAGAATAATTTTAAATAAATTATTTGTGTATATTTTAATAATTTTAGCTCTGTTGTACTATAAAAATATAAGTTAAATAAATATATATAATAATTTTAAATTATAACACATAAAAAGGAAAATATTTATTTGATAATTTTAATCTTTTGTGTTACAAAAATGTAACTTAAATAAATTTATATGATATTAAATTATAACTTGATATTAGAAATAATTGTTATAAAATTAAAATTTTATTTAAGAAATTCAATATAATTAATATTATAAATAAGATAGACATAAAAATAAGAAATAATTTTAATATTTTATTTTTAAAAAATGAAAAAAAAAGTATAATAAAATTAATTGGTAAGTATATTTAGTACGTATAATTCTATTAGATTTTGTTTATGGGTAATTTAGATTAAGTAGAAATCATTTAAATATTAAATTTTGATAAAAGGATATATTGATGTGGCATTTTAATAAACAAAGAAGAAGAAAAAAAAAGATTCGTCACGTAGGAGAGAAAATTTGAGAGTAAACAGTACTTTTAAAAATATATGCACGAGAAAATAAGGGGAAAAAAGAAGAAAAAAGAATAGGCAATTTAGCATTAAAAACAATTCAATACCTTTGAAAGAATTAAGAAGAAAAACATGAAATGCAAAATTGGTATTGGGTTTGTAAATAATCTCAATTTACGATGAAAAATATATGGAAAAGAAATATTTGTCAAATACAATTCATATAAAATAGGTAAAGTTAGTATAATTTAAAATAGATTTAGGTTTGTGTAGAATTCTATATGTAATTAAAAAAATATTATAATTTAAATTAAATTTGAATTTGTGTAAAATTCTATATGTAATTAAGAAAATATATGTTGACATGGCTCTCTTAAAAAAAAAAAATCCTTATAATGTGTTACTTAAATATGAAAAAAAATATACACTATATTTGGTTCCATTTTTTTGAATTTTTTTTTTCAAAAAGTGATTTGAAAACTCTATTTTGAAAAAAAATCTTTGTTCGGTGTTTAAAAAAATGCATCATTGCAATTTCAAGTTTTAGGTGTGCTGAAATTTTTAATTTTTTTTTAGGTGTGGTGGAATTCAATACAGTATACACCACTATTTTTACATTACTTTTGTTGAACTTGAAAATTGACTGAATATGAACCGTTCAAGTCATGAGGTTTCTTAATGGTTAACTTCAGCGTTTTGGATTAATTGAGGTGGCCCATGAAGTGGGTGGGCACATGGCATCTCAAATTCCCTTGGTTTTGCACAAAGAGCTGAAACATTTGAAAACTGAGAACAGAAGTTTTTTTCTTTTCTTTTAATTTAAAAAAGGAAAATGCATAAGACCCCTAGTGGGGGTGCTGGGGTCTGTTTTGATTGGTCAAAAACTGTTTTTTTTTTCTTTTTTTTTTCCTTTTTCTTCTCCATTGGCACCCCCACGTGGAGGTGGAGGTGAGGTGCTGGGGGGTCGTTTCGTACAGGGGGTCCGGAGCAACGCCCTTAAAAAAATGGGCAAGCTTGGTAAAAAAGAAGGGGAAAATACACTTCAGTGATATGTTCCAAAAAAAATTACAGATTATTGAAAATATTTATAAATTTAATTATTAAAGTGTATTAGGTTTACCATGAATTGAATTTTTCTTTTAAAAAAAATTAAACTGGATTGTGATTTTCCTAAAAAGAATACATTTCTAAGCCTTTTTATCTAATTTTAAGTTCATGTCAAATAGTCTTAGTTTTTTCACATTGTAAAAAACAAAAAACAAATTTTTAAGTTTTTGCCAAATAGGTACTGCGAGCTGTATTTTTAATAGGGAGCTGTTAGTAAGTGCATGCGTCCTTTTTGTAACTGCACATCGTAGACTTTTCCTTTTTAATAATTTTAATTGGCACATGATCCTCTCTATTTCAAATGTTTTTTTCCTTTTGTTTCAAGAGAAAATCGGTCTAAGATCTCTATCCAACTTTTAGTAATGGATTAGATCCACAATATGTTCTTTGTAGTCTAAGGTCCCTCACCCCCGTGCCCTTATATTACACCTGCACTCTCATAGCCAGAGAGGATAACCAAGTCAGGAACATAAATGTCTGAATTTGATTCTCGTTGGTCGAAACCCTGAGAAACTCAAGGAGGTTTCGGAGTCGATCGGAGCCAAATTCGGGAAAACCCAGATCAAGACTGTGGTTGTTGATTTCTCTGGAGATTTGAACGAAGGGGTTAATCGGATTCGTGAAACCATTGAAGGTCTGGATGTTGGAGTTCTGATCAATAATGTTGGAGTTTCGTATCCTTATGCGAGGTTTTTCCATGAGGTGGACGAGCAATTGTTGGCTGATTTGATTAAAATCAATGTTGAAGGGACTACCAACGTTACAAAAGCGGTTTTGCCTGGGATGATTAAGAGGAAGAGAGGTGCGATTGTTAATATTGGTTCTGGTGCCGCCATTGTTATCCCTTCTGATCCACTCTATGATATATACCTCGCTTCTTTGTGCCTTTGACAAATCTGCTTTAGTCTTGGCTTCACATGCTTCCGTCTGTGCTTGGAGGGACCTAATGGGAACATTGTTCAACAGAGAAACACTTTCAATTGAAAAATTCAACTAGAAAAAAGCGAAGAATAGATTTGGGTAAGTTGCAGAATTTTTTCCAGATATTACAAACCAGAGAAATTCTCAATTGTTATTTTTAATAAACCAGAGAAATGTTATTTTTAATAAACCACAGAAATTCTCAATTGTTATTTTTAATAAACCAGAGAAATTCTCAATTGATATTTCAATAACAAACCAGAGAAATTCTCAGATTTTTCCAGAATTTCTCTGGTTCTGGTAAGTTGCCATTGTTATCCCTTCTAATGTTGTTTACATATTACAATGTTGAATTTTTCCAGTTGAATTCAGTTGAACAATGTTGCTTACCTAATGAATCACAATGATTTGGGTAAGTTGCTGAAATTTTTGTTAATTATGCTTAGTTACTTACATGTGTCCCTATGATCAGTTTATTTCAACAAATGTATAACTGGAAGTATAAATGAAAGTGTAAATGAAATCATGACAAAATGTAAGAATGGAATTTTATTCAAGAAGCAAAGAACAGATTCATAAAAACATTCACAACTTTCAATAAAAAATATAAAACATTGTCTCAACCACTAGCCTTGTGCATCTGTAGTTCTCAATAAATTTGTTAGTCATGAGAGGAAGAAGGGTGTTTGAGATCAATCATCAACACCTAATCCAGAGAATTTCTCTGGTTTCAATCCAGAGAAATTCTGAGAATAATTAGACTTTCCAGAGAAATTTGGTCTAAAATTTCTCTGGACCAATTTTCTCTGGACTGAAATTTCTCTGGATCAAGGTTGAGGGACCTTAGATATTATGAAAATATTGTTGAGGGACTTTAGATATTATGAAAATATTGAATGTCCTTTATGCTATACAACCTTAATATCAGGTACCTTGAAAAAAAAAAAAACCCCTTGTTTCAATGCATTCTTAATAATTGAATCAAGTTTCGAGATTTACATGTCTCAAATTTTTCAAATGATCCTGTTGATATCCGACATCAATTGCAAACTGCATTTAAAATTAACTTACAAGACAGACGCATTACACCGGTGGTGCTTTTTGATTGAAGTTCAAAAAGACAAACTCATAAGGCTGATTGTTGAGCTAGACTATAACAAAATGCATTTTTCAAAGAACAAAATTAACTCTATTCCTTCATTTCTTTGCCACGAAAAACATTTGGCCAAGTTTATCCAACTTAGGCCGCCCCAAGCCGAAACAAAACGATACATGTCCTGCGTGATGGATGACGATTCATATGTGGGCCTCCACTTCATTTTCATTTTAATGTCTTCAATTTGATCAAATTGGCTGTTTCTACACCAACCCAATTCAATTATATCACATGTTCACAATACTCTTTTTCCTTGACCCCCCCTTGAACCTTCCAGGAGCCCAAACAAAGGCTTCAAAACAAGACCACAAAATTCTTGGCCTTTGTTGACCCCACACACCACCATCAAACTTCTTTCCTTTCTTCCCAAGGAAAAGGAAGAAAAGCAAGATTCCTTTTCAATTCTTTGTCACATTTCATATTTTATTTTCCACTATTTTTGGTTGTCAATTTAGTGGTTCTTGGAATACATCTTCCCCAGATGAGTTCTATATTTTGTCATCTTCTATTTCACTCCATACAACTAGATTTTTTTTATTTATTTTGTCAATTAGTGGACTGAAATTTTTTGAGAAAGGATTTGAACATTTCAAATAGAGAATCTTGTTTGATGAAGTTATTGATGAAAGGATCAGTCAAGGCTTCAACTGGCAAGTAGGTAACTGGTACAGCCAAAGCCCATAGACGCGACAAATATTCTGTCGCTTTTCGCAGACCCCCTTCCTTGCCATCATCAAATTTCTTCCTTTTCAAGAAAAATGCATATGTGAAACTTGAGATCTCCAATGTTTCAATTCAAGGACACCAATTCTACTACAAAAAGCATATACTTTAATAATCTCTATGTATGACATCTTCTATTACGTAACCGATGATGTTAGTTTATATAACACACCACTTGTTAAACCTTTTCAATTTTGTAATCATCCCCAGTCAAGCCTATACTATATGCAGAACAACTATAAATAGGCCTCCCCAACCTTGTCACCCTACAAGATCATCCAATCCAACAACAACAACGTACCCATAAATTTGATTAATTTTGCACTCTGTGTCAATGGCTAACACTGGCCTTGCTGAAGCTTACATGATGCGAAGAGCCCTCGAAGATAAGATGACGATGAAGAAGAAGAAGAAGAAGAGCTTTGAAGGGTCAAAAGATAAGCCCCAGCCCCAAGTGAGTGCTGCTCAAGCTCATCATCAAAAGAAAAGATCAAATGATTGCTTCTTTGGGGTGTTCAAGAAGATCCACCCAACTCATGTGTTATTGCTGGATTCGGTTGCTAGGAAACAAGCTGTGACATTAGCCCACAAGGATTAATTAGTCAAACCGCCAAAGTAACATGCAATCAATTCCTTTTTGAGTTGCATGTAAATGGGTCGAAACTTTTCTGTTTTTTACACTTGCAACCGTTGAGCTGTATGTCTTGAAATTTTCTCATGATCAATACCTATGTAATTTGTAAATGTCTTAGTTTGCCATAAGTTAGCTTATAGTAGACATCCTCCACTATTTGTCTTGAGGGACAGCTTTAATTGAGTTTTTCCAGAATTTGTTTTGTTAAATATAGTGATTATATATTCAGTCTATCATACGTATTATATTATGTTTATTACTGAGAGGGTAATTTATGTGTAAATTAGGCCAAGATGGATAATGAGCCATTCTGTGGACCACAGTAAGAAGGGCCTAGAAGTTAGCCCGGTCCAAGAAGGCTCTGCAGTTAGCCCGGTCCAAGAAAGCTCTGCAGTTAGCTCGGTCACCACACTAAGAATGGTAACAGTTAGCTCGGTCATACCATATTGAGCCGAAATATGTTGAGCTTTCCTCAAAACCTAGCTATTGGTTAGCTCGGTCCAAGCTTGATGAGATTAGTGCGGTCTCAGACAACCCATTTGGAATATGTCAAACCGAGGTACATGCAGTGAAAGGAAGAACCGAGCTAGTGGGAGCTCGGTCTAATCTGCGGCTTTAGCATGGCCATGTTATCTCGGTCGTATTGACATACAACCGTGGTAGAACCATCTCACTTGGTTTAAGTAGTGAGGGGGGTGTTAAAGGATAAGTATTATCTTTCAGGAAGGTGATTCCTAGGAGGACTTTACATGGAAGAGTAAGAGTTCTACTTGGATTATGGCACACGGAACCTATAAAAGCTCACATCACCACCTATGGAGAGGTAACACATAACTTTGATTTTCGAATACACAGAGCTTTTGTCTATTTGTCTATTTTGCTGACTTAGGCATCGGAGAGGCATCCGGCACACACCCGCCGGCTAGCTCACGTTTGTGTTTTCAGGGAGTAAAGCGACGATGTTTGGAGGAGCGCGGATTTGATCAACAGGATTATACAAGATGATTATTTCTTGCTCGTACAATTGGCGCCGTCTGTGGGAACTTCCTCTGGGGTGACCGGAGCCAGCGCGGCTGGGGGCTAATGTGCGGGAAATCCCACATCGGTCTGTGAGGGACTACTTTCCCACCTTATAAGCAGGCTGACTCCTCTTACCTTGCATAGGCCTTTTCCCCCAGTGGGGGAAGAACAAAACCGTGCGGTCGAAATGCCAAAGCGAACAATATGTGCAAGGCACGAGGACCGGTGACTTTATTTGGCGCCATCTGTAGGAATCACAGAAAGAACAAAACCTCTTGATCAAAGTTTTCCTCGCTAAATTAGACACAATGACGCACAATGAAGATTTACCACAGTCCGCCATTGACGGGCAAACCCCAGAGGGAGGTGGGAGGCGCGAAGGTTTGCCTTCCATCCCTCCCATGCCAGATCTGGATTCCCAGCGACAGAATCCCCGGAGGGATGCAAGGGAAAGGCGGGATAACTGCCCCCGTCGCTCATCAAGTTCTGATAGACAGAGGCGGAGGATCGACCCTCAAGTTTTGGAGGACCGGGTAAAGGAGCAGGACGAGTTAATCAGGAAGATGGCAACGGACATGGAATTGATAAAACGCCAGATAAAAGGGAAAGGGGTGGCGACAGGAGAGGGGCGCAAAAGTAATACGCCCCCTCGCCACTCTGAAGATCGTAGTAGGCATACCACGCCATCACAAGCAGAGAGTAAGAGCCTCAGAACAGGCGACACTCAATTAAGGACTTCCAGAACTCGTTACTCCAGGTCTGAGAGAACGAGATCATTGAGGTCTTACACTGAAGGAAGCACCTATCGGCCCTCACATACGCACCAGACATCATCTAGGCAAACGGAGTTACCTAGATCGTCCGACTTGCGGACTGTGCTTGAAGAAAGGGCACGACGGAAGGAGGATGCCAGGGCACGCGACCCGTACGGAGTTTCATCCCTTCAGCGGTTGGTTCCTCGGACGCATGGAAGCGTTGAGGTTGGAATGCCAATACCGCACCTTGCCTACGAACCAACAAATAAAGCATTGGCAAGGCTACATAGCTCGCTATTCGTTCCGGCGATTGAGAACGCACCCTTACCTTCAGGCTTTATCCAGCCTAAATCTACGACGTACGAAGGGAAAACAGACCCTTACATGCACCTAAGCTACTTTCGCCAGGTCATGGCAATATATCGACAGAACGAGGCTTTGATGTACATCCTATTTCCATCCAGCCTAGGCGACCTAGGTTTAACCTGGTTCGAAAGGCTACCAAAAGACAGCATAGCCTCCTGGGCGCAGTTAGCGGAGGCATTCGTGACAAAGTTCAAAACGAACACCAAGACGCCAATAGAGATCGATCAGCTACTCTCCATTGACTTGGGCGACAAGGAGACGTTGAGATCCTACAACAGCCGTTATTGGGAGACCTTCAACCAAGTAAGAGATTGCC